CTCCACTGATCACCAATGTAAGGGGATCCTCCTCCACTGATCACCAATGTAAGGGGATCCTCCTCCACTGATCACCAATGTAAGGGGTCCCTCCTCCACTGATCACCAATGTAAGGGGACCCTCCTCCACTGATCACCAATGTAAGGGGACCCTCCTCCACTGATCACCAATGTGAGGGGACACTCCTCCACTGATCACCAATGTAAGGGGATCCTCCTCCACTGATCACCAATGTAAGGGGATCCTCCTCCACTGATCACCAATGTAAGGGGACACTTCTCCACCGATCACCAATGTAAGGGGATCCTCCTCCACTGATCACCAATGTAAGGGGATCCTCCTCCACTGATCACCAATGTAAGGGGACCCTCCTCCACTGATCACCAATGTAAGGGGATCCTCCTTTACTGATCACCAATGTAAGGGGATCCTCCTCCACTGATCACCAATGTAAGGGGACCCTCCTCCACTGATCACCAATGTAAGGGGACACTTCTCCACCGATCACCAATGTAAGGGGACACTTCTCCACTCACCACCACAGTGGGCTGGTAACGGGGCTAATTGCGAGGCCGTGGCTTAGCATTGTCTCCGGGACACAGGAAGTGCTGTTACTCTCAGGATCTCCAGGGAGGAAACTTTGTAACAGATTCACAAAACACGATTTGATCAAGAAAACCAAATACAGTGAGACATGATGGCAAACACACTGAGAAATGGATTTTGGGTTTACACTATATACTTCATACAGAACCAGAACTGTGTTTTTTGTAGTTGTATATATTTCTATAGAGTAGAACCCCTGCCATGTTTTATCGCTCTCTGTGTCCCGTTGGGAAGATTCACCCTCTTTGTCCTTCTCTCCGGGGCAGTCAGAGAAGGGAAAACTCGGAGGGACAAGGATTGCAAAGAAAACATGACGGGGGTTCTGACTAGGGTTGCACAGATACCAAGTACAGTACTCGGTACAAGTACGAGTACAAGTACCGATACTTTTGAGCTCCAAGACTACACTAGAGAAAAATTCAAAAATTAGGAGGCAGTTGTCATGTGTAAGGAGCACACGGAGCTCCCGGGATTTGTACATCTCTGTTTTATTGTATGATTTTGTTTTTATAAATATAAATAAAGGGATGCACAGATACCAGTTTTGCGAGTACGAGTACTGATACATTTTTGTTTATTGTCATGTGACAGTTTTTCTAAAACAATACAGACTAATTATTTCAGGACAGTGGTGGAGCGCCAGAGCCGGGTCCCAGCTGCAACCGCTGCAACCCTGGTAGTTCTCATGAAAATGCCAAGTATCTGCACAGGTACTCGAAAAGTATCTGTGCATCCCTAGTTATGACCCTTTACTACCTATTAAATATTGAGAAATAAAGTTTAGCTCTGGATGCACTTTGATTGGCAATACGAGAATGGAGAGGGAATAATGATCTTGTAAATGTGTCTAGATGTTCAATGCGATGGCCGGATGTCTGCTGGAAATTAAGTCCCAACCAAAGAAAAGATGGAAAGACGCCGGAGAGTCGCCAGTTCTGGTAATAAGTTTGTCTGCCTGTGTTTTATTCATTAATTATTTGTGTGCAAATTGACTAACACAGCAAATGAAATCTGAACTTTAAGCAAACCGCGGATGAAATTCATATACGGAGCTGTTTTACCTGACAATGGATTTGCATTTGAGTCCATACAGTCCTGCGATTTACAAAGCTCTGCCACACAGCACAGCCCTGCTTGGCCAAGCAGGAGACCTAACCTTTCTATGTGGCGGGGCTAGTATTGCTTTTATATCATGCCCCGCCCCCAGCCTGTGATTGGACAGGGAAAGGAGAAGCAGCAGACTGATGAGCTCATCTCTGTGCCATGCTGCTCTCTCCTCCTATCAGCATGTCTGTTGCATTGCACACCTGATTGGCTCTTTGTGCTGCTTCTCTATCTCCTAGCCTGCTGCACAGTAGACTGCAAGAGTCTGATACCAGGTCTGATTCAGTTCCTTACACCACTTGCATCTAATACAATACATTCAGTGATATGGGAATTATTACAGAGCTGGAAAAGGTACAAAATTCCCCAAAAGGGGATCCCACTATTCCTTCAAACAGATATAAAATAGATATTTATAAAAATATATATGTTTATTTATTTATAGAAACACTAAAAAATATGTATAACAGAACATATCAAAATTTGTATCAAAAAACACACACACATGTATATGGCTGCATTCCGCTAATAACTTTTAAACAGTAGGTAGTGGAAAAACAATTTAGAGACACACCATTTGAATGCCTAACGTTTTCAAAATAGACAGAAAAAATCTGGTATCGGAAATATATATAATTTCCTATGTTATTAGGATCTCCAAATAGATGGCAAAAGATAGCCCATATTTAATGGAGGGGAGAAAAAGTGGCAACAGAGCTCTGTAAACTTGAAATGGGTATAAGTTGTATGAAAAAAGAAGCAAAAAATGAAAAAAAAACAGTCAAATAGAAAAATAGATTCAACTCACGGTGGAGTGTGTCCTCAAAATTTTCAAGATGGAAAATGGTGATCCCGCTGCTGTAATTGCATCCAGTCAAAGAGAAATGGGAGATTCAGGAGATATAGCTATATCTCGGCTTTTTACGTTAGTTATTGCCTTAACTGAATACCAGAATTCGATCTACAGGGTTTATTTCTCTTTTCCGAGTAGTAGCAAGAAAAAGGGGATCCGTGATGGAACAGAAAATCAGATGGTGTCTTTTTAAACCGGAACAGAATAATTTGGTATCTTTATTCCTTGCGTTGAGAATCCAAAAGGTTCAGAAGGAAGTTGCCGTCAATTATATAATGAGAAACATAGTAAACACTATGCAGGTTTCAGGAGATAGCATTATCTCGGCTTCTCTGTTCGTTTTGAATGTAAGCCTTCACTGAAACATAAAGTCTCCTTTTTCTTGTCCTTTCTCTATTGGAGACTCCAGAGCTGGGTTCATGTGTGTCTGTTATATCTGCCCGGGGTTCAGCTACAATTACAATGTGATAGTTTGATATTTTATACAGCACGTGTCTGGAGTTCTGTTGGGTTGGGCACATAGATGACGTTTCTGAGGCTCTCATAGCTATGTGGGGATCTGAACTCCCCGAACCTGTAACATTTCTCTGTGTGTTCTCCTAGAGGACTTTAAGAAGTTCCACCGACAGCTGTCCACGTGTGACGACGTAACACTGAGGATGACCTACGACTACTTCAAAGACAGCCTGGCCTATTTTTTGGAGACGGTGGACACTCTGGACCTCCTCAGTGAGCTGGAATCTCAGGGGGTCCTAAATACAGAGGTGAGATAAAGATATTAAAGAATGGACTCCAGACAATAGACTATGACAAGGTTATAACCTCCATCAGGATATCATGGCTGTCTGGGGCCTTGTTAGTGAGCTTTTTCTTCACTTCCTGTCCTAGTGACAACATTGTCACCATGATGGAGGTGAGAGAAGATCTGCAACATTGATACAGTTAGGGTTGGCCCCTTTTCTTCAAGCAAAACCCAAACACTCTAGTGACGCACTGAGATTTTTTTGGGAGAATGAGTCGTAGATTAATCATATGTAAATATAATAGTTGAGACTATTTTCAATGGGGGGCCAGTAGCCCCTACCTTAATTTTGGTTGCCCCTGTCTGCCTGACATCTTGTGTTCGGGTTTCCGCTGCCATGAAACCCGAACACAGCATTCAAAACCTGGACCGTCCGGGTGAATCCTGGACAGGTGGCAACCCTAGATACAGACAGCAATAAATAGGCAACATGGGCATCTCTGGCTGCAGTACCCATCTCCTCTGCAGTGCTGTTCCTCTTGCAGTAATTCCTTTCCACCGCTAGATGTCCTTAGTGTTCCGGGGTGAATGGTGCTCGTAGGACTGAGGACATCCTGTCTGTGTAGGAAGTAAGAGACCCCCACCTCCATGGCGTCCTCCACTCACATACATTAATACAGAGAGAGAGAGGTGCTGATGTCATCACGCCAGCGCGGTTCTCTGCATCAATGAGGGCCACCCACTGCCAGAAGATCCAAGGAGGACCCTTCAAGTCATGTGGCCAGCCAGAAATCATTGGAAAAAGTTAATATAACAGAAAAAGCATAAATACTGCCACCAGGGAGGGAGCGGGAGACTAGAGTTGGGCCTTAAAATGCATTGATATAAAGTATATGTTGTGATGATGGTGGTCTCTTAGTGGTTGGTAGATGTAGAAGAGATTGTGCAATGACAGTGTTATGTGTGTGGAAAGCCCAAGTCTCTAAGACTCTTGCAGCATCCTTAGCAGTTTTGATGTCAAACGAGAGCTACGAGCTGCAGATGTAGCCATTTTTTTCTGGTCCCTGAAGAGGGTATTTACAGAAATGATATAACCAAATCATCTGTGCTGAGGGGGGTGTTGATGCTCCAGCAGACACTCCCTCAGTGTCAATGTTTCTAGGTACAGCATATCAATATTTCCAGATTGCAAGATTTTTTTACAGTCTGACAACCAACATACTATTGAGCAGAATGAAATTATGATTTTTTATCACTTAGATGATTTAATGTGACCAGTTCACTGGCTGCTCATGATAGCGTAGGCATGCTTGGTATCAAACTGATTGTTACTTCCTTATACGTTAGTGTAGCCATGTTTTATGAACCCCATCCCATCATAGCCAACCATATATAAATGGAATGGAGTTTGGTTCTGGTAGTTAAGAAAACAAAACAAGATATGTATTTGCTTTAAACTACTTCTGGACAGAACGACAATTTACAATAGGACTGCATAGAAAGTCTCTGGCTCTCCAGCCATTGCCCGGTGCTGATGACGGCAGCCATATAGTCATTTATGAACAGCCTCCATATACAATTCCGAGGAGCACAGCCCGTTTTTCTCAAGGCCTCAAGAAAGGTGCTGTGCACGCTTTAAGAAAGGTCAAGACCTGTGAGCGCCCCTACAGTATATACATTATCCAGAATTAGTATGTGTACCCAGGTATGTTCTGTTGATGTCAAAGGGGAGTAACTGCCCTCATTGCCTGTCCAATGAGACAAGAGAGACCAGCAGTTGCGTCTCAACTAACTTGCACAGACAGATAGTTACTTAGGCAAAGCTTCAGACACTCAATAATGCCTGGGGGGGGGGGGGGG